TATGATTCAAAATTTTATGATCCAAAAATAATATGATTCAAAAAAAAGAATGAACGAAAAATATTATGATCCTTAATATTCTTGATATTTAAAATGTTATAATTGTTAAGCATTAAAAACTCAAAACGGTATTTAGATTAAACAATCAAAAAAAATGAAAATCAAAAAAATAAAAACAAGAAAAAAAACCCTATTATTTTCAAGTATGTAGTAAAGATATTAAAAAATAAATAAATAAATAAAAATAACTTTTTATAGAAAACAAAAACAATAAAAAGTGAATTAAACGAAAAAAAAAATAAAAACGTTAAAACTAAGCATATATCCATTTAAAAAAGAAAAGTGAATTTTTTTAACGAAAAATAAAAAATAATAATAATAACAAATTAAAAAAAACCAAAATAAATGAAAAATATATTTAAATGACGTTCCATGGACATTCGATGCATATGATTATTCTCTCGAGATCGCATTACATTCCATGCACGTGCGACGCGTGCGAATGCGTCACGGCTAAGTAAATGGGTTTGACATTTGTGCCATTAACGAAATAATTGATGAAGAATAGTTCTCGCAGTTCCTACCAGTTTTAGGTTCCTAACGGATACGGACCGTATATATATATATATATATATATATATATATATATATATATATATATATATATATATATATATATATATATATATATATATATATATATATATATATATATATATATATAGGAGTAGGATCAAATGAGAACACCTATAGGTTGAGAACGCGAGAACACATCTAAGCCGTTTAAATAATTAAATCTAAGCCTATTATCAAACGAGCAATTTATGTAAAATTCTAAAAGTTATAGGTATTAAAGTGTAACTTTAAATTGTGATAAGGGTATTATAGTAATTGGACCTATACCACCGTTAGTTAATTCCTATAATTCCTCAATCACTCACCTATTTCCTTCCATTTACCGTCTCTCTCTTCATCTCTCTGTAAACCTAGGTATGCCTCCAACGTCTCCAGCTTTTCATCATCTCATCCCTACGCCACCAATTTTGCACATCCCTACATCATTGATCCACCACCATCGCTAGCATCGGGTTTAACCATCAACCTCCATCATCACCTTTGATTCAAGATGAGAAACCCATCAATGTTCAAGATATATTCATCTCTTAGCCTACCTCCACCACACCTTTGATTTCTGTAGCCCTAATCGGAACCGCAAGTAGATTTCCAATCGGCCTCCTGTAATTCGATCTCAATCGGACCTCCAATCGATTCATGGAAAACCGAGAGGGAGGTGAGTACCTGGTTCAGGTCGCAATCGGAAATCCGTCTTGAAACACACAAGAAGATGAAATCATTCCACCTTTCTCTTTCGAACTAGTTATTGTTTCTAGATTTGGGACTCAGATTCATCATTGCTGAAGACAGGTGAAATCCTTCCTTCTTTTGTTCGCTTATTTCAGTTCAATTGTAGCATCAATTGTTGGCCGTTTGGTTTAGTTTGATGGCTAGAGTGGTTTAACCAATTAAACTTGCCTTTGGATGATTCATGGATGAATTTGGACATCCTATACTTCTGAAAGACAATTAAATAAAAGTTGTATTAACCTTTTGTTCACTTATTTTATTGTCAAATAATCTAAAGTTCTTAAGTTATAATCTCACACCCACATTATTGTTTCCAGAACTCAGATTCATCATTTCCAAAGTTGAAATCATTCCACCCTTCTCTTAAGATTGCAATCGGACATCCATCTTAAACGACACAGGAAAACAAAATTGTTCTTCCTTTAATCAGAATACATTTCAAGCTGCTCTGAAACTAGGCTTCCTTTAATTTCAAAAGATGGTGAGGTTTATAAGGAAGAAAGAGAGAAATGTTTTTCTGAAGATGTGAAGGTATTGTTTGATAAAAGGTTTCAAATTCAGATTTATGAAGGTTTTTGCATGTTCTGTTAAATAAGGGTATTGTACTTGTTTATGATAGAATGTGTATTTATTTATGAATAACAATGTATTTATTTATGAATAGCAATGTATTCATGTGTGAATGGTTGTACGTATTTATGAATTTTAGTGTATTCATGTGAATGAGTGTATTTATTAATGATTAGAGGTATGCATTTTATGATAGAATGTGTATTAATTTATGAATAGCAGTGTATTTATTTGTGAATAGAAGTGTATTAATGTATAAATGATTGTATTTATTTATGAATAGTAGTGTATTCATTTCATTTGATGAAAAAGACATTGAATTATTTTTAATTTGATGTGTATTAGTTTCTGATTGGAGTAGTATTTGGTTTTTTGAAGAAACATTTGGTTTGTGATTACAAGTTTATTGATTTGAAATTGGATTTCTATTCATTTTTTTGAAAAACAAAAACGTGAAATAGGAAAATAAAATGATTTTTTTAAAGATTTTTTATAAATATTTTAAATAAATTTTACTAAAAACGTTTTTATATTCCATTAATAAAAAATAAAAAATTAATATTTCTTTGTTTTTTGGTAACCGATCCTAAATTTAAGGAATTTGATTTAATTTTAATTTAATTAAAATATATAGTTACTAATATGCCCTTATATATTGATTGGTCCAGAACTGTTCTCGCGTTCTAAACCTTTTAGGTGTTCTCATTTGATCCCCTCCCTATATATATATATATATATATATATATATATATATATATATATATATATATATATATATATATTGTTGGGTTTTGAGCAATCTAACACTTCCTAAGTGCGCATGCAATCCTAATAAACCTTGGATCTATGTTTGTCTAAATACATGCAAAATAATAATTTTTCCAAGGTTCATAACCTATCTAACATGGCATGGGGTACTTTTAAACATAAAGAATTAGATAAGATTACATACCTTTTGATGATGAGTTTGATTCCTAAGGAGTTTGAGGGCCAAACACCAATAGTGTGAATGCCTCAAATGGATTCACAAATCACCAAAAACTCTTGGAAAACTTTGAGAGAGTGTATACACACTTATAAAATCGACCACACACAAAACACACACACCTAGTGGCTATTTCATGCAACAAAAGCATTCTTATATAATGTACATGATTAGGGTGAAACCCTAATAACCCATGACCTTTCCTTTTCCAACTATCCATGGGTTAAAAGCTCCATGGATCATCCATGGACTTCCATATAAGCCTAGCCCATTAACTAATGAGTATTAGCCCACACCATATAAAACAATAGCCCACAATTTAATTAGTCTTCCTTTTAATCTCTAAATTAATTCATAATTAATTTAAGACTAAGACTAATTAAATAACATGACTTCATATTAATATATTATAACTTATAATATATTAATAATCATATGTGTATAACTCTCATAAAATTATCCATAAATAGTTTGGATGAAATGCAACCCAAATGGACCATGCCGGATCGGGTCAAGTATATACCAAATAAGTTATGAACTTAGATACGTTATCCAACATATATATATATATATATATATATATATATATATATATATATATATATATATATATATATATATATATATAAAAGGTTCAAATGAGAACCACTAGAGAAGAAGAACCCTAAGAACCACTCATTTTTACTAATCAATGTATATTTATCATTTCTCAAAAGATAAATGGCATTATTGTAGATAAAGTTAATTTGTAGCCTAGTTTTATAAACAATAAAACAAATGTATAAGATCTTTAAACCAGATCTAACACACCTTTCTTGTTTTTTTCATAAGGTCGAAAAAAAAAGAAATTCTCTCTTCCCCCTTCCTTTTACCACCTAAAACCATCTTCCATAGTTGTCGTCGTCACCACCGGCGAGATCGCCGCCATCTTCGTCATTCTCGCTTATGTGTTCTACTACCACTCCCGCTTGTCCGTTTGGTGCGTTGAAAGTCGAAACCATCAACGTTTTTCTCTCCTACCTCTGAATTCGTCTCCACTTCCAACACCACCGCATTCCACCACCGGAAAACCTAAATATAGCTCAAATGGAAGCCATGTGTTTCGCTCCTTATGTCAAAATCCCTAACAATGACGTCAATTGCAAAACATCAACATGACCAAGAGAATGAGACTTTCCATCTCCACTACAGTTTCCAAATAAAAGGTAGATATCGATTTTCTAATAACAGAGGCTAGGTCAACGACTACGGTGTTACGGACCAGAGAACAACCATCGTTGGTGCTTTGTGTGTCTCCGTCTTCATTGCAGTATGAATCTGTCCAGTTGGGAAATGTTCCGAACCATAATCTGGAGGAAGGTAATGGTGCTTTGAGTGAAATGGAGTATCTGACGAATATTTTGTCTTCAAATCAAGCTTACGATGTTGCAATTGAATCTCGGTTATCGCTCGCCCCTAAGCTTTCGGAACAGTTAGGTGTTAACATTTGTCTTAAACGAGAAGACCTTCAACTTGTAAGCACACATCTAAACATGATTTCGCACATATTTCAATTCTAATTAGTCATAATAAACTTTCACAAACATCAAGATGTTCCTATTTATGCTATTCATCTCTGTTTCTGTTATGTTTCATGTTATTCGTATTGAAAATTTCTAGTTTAGCATATTGAATCATGATTTATGTTGTTCATAAGCCAAATATTTCATGGAGCATACAAAATGATGGTAAAACTCCCAAAAGAACAATTATCACAAGGAGTTATTTGTTCATCAGCAATAAATCATGCTCAAGGTGTTTCATTAGCAGTCAAAACACTAGGTTGCGATTCTGTGATTATTATGCCAGTTACCATACCTCAAACCAAGGTTTGATTTTGTTGTAAATTGCTAATGTTTGCTTGATTTTTTCAATCCATACTGATTCCACAATTGTTGAATGTTTTCCTAACACCAAATTTGCATATGCTTTTCTCTGATCTTCAGGGAAACCACCAGATCTTCCACCTTTGTTGCTTTCTATTGCATCAGTCTCTTCCTCTTTGATATCTGACAAAACATCTCCAACTGATGTATTTCAGGTTAGATCTATGTTGTCCTCCTCGGCTCCATCTGAAGAGCAATATCGATCAATGCTACTTTATTATCAATGATGGTTTTAGATATGAATTGTTTCGATAGAGATCTACATTCTCTGACGATAGATCTAAGATCTCTGGTATGTCAATTTTTATTTTAGTTTTTTATTATTAAGCTATGAATTTAAGGTTTTAACAACTATTAAAATCATGATAAAATTATCAAGGATAATATTGTGATACATGTTCCAGAAAAAATAAGCAAAGAAAGATAAGACACAAAAATGCATTGTATCCTCCTTAGCTCTTGGCGGTGTAATAAAAATTAAAATGTGATGATCTATTCCAAAGCCCACACACAAGACCTCATGGGCTTAATATTGGACATGTCTAATTCATTATGGTCTGCTGAAAAATCATAAATGAGCTGTTGGAATAAAAACTTTAGGCTGCTAGAAAATATAAATTTTAAGTTGATTTACTAAAAAAAAGTGTATTTATTTATTTATTTTTCTAACCGTGAATTGTGATGTTTTATTATTTCAATTATTGTTTAATTCTATTAAAGTTAGTTTTAACTGTTATTAAAGTTAGTTTTAATTGTTATTAATTTTAATATGAGAATATATTATTTTTTATAATTTTTAAGTTGTTTTTTTAAAACTGATCTAAATATATTTTTACAGAGCATACAAAGTGTTTGATTAAATTGTGAATAAGAGTCCTGAAATGCTTTATTAAACTGTGAATTCTAATTTTTTTAAATCCAGATTTGAATTTTATACCTATATAATAGTTGTGAATGTAGTGTATTAAATTCTGAATATGCGTTTTTATGTATTAATTTGTGAATACGTAAGTTAAGTTGTAAACGTGTTTCTTTTTATGTACTAAGTTCTGAATTAGTGTCTGAAATATTGAATTAAGTTGTGAATTAGTGTCCGCAATATTAAATTAAGTTGTGAATTAGTGTCTAAAATAACGAATTAAACTGTGAATTTTGGTTTTTTTTTTATTGCTTATCTTGTTTTTTACGGAATGATGTTGGCGGTGTTGACATTGATGCTTTGAGGTGGCGATGGTTGATGACAACGTATGCTAGCTGGCAGTGTTAATGGTGGTGATGGTGGTAGAGTAATGATATGTTCTATTTCTCACGCATCTTCTTCATTGATTTAAGATAAGTTATCCTCTTTTATGATTCACGTATATATTTTTCTTTTGATGCTTACTTATGAAGTATGAGATAACATATGTATGTATTAAAATATAAATAAGTTTTTTATACACTGAAATATGAGATTATACTTGTAAATAAGTTGTGAATGTATTGCATTAAACTATGAATTTGTTTTGTTAAGCTGTAAATTTGTTCACAGCTTAGTATAATAAATTCACAATTTAAAAGACAAAAATATCTCTAGATATGAACCTATAACTGTTAGTATTCAGTTAAAAAAATATACTTGTGCATATAAAATTTTTGTGTATTAAACTATAAATTACTTTATTAAGTTGTGAATTTTATGTATTAAATTGTGAAATGATTGTATTAAGCTGTGAATTGGTTGTATTCAGATTTGAAATTTTTATGAATTTTGTTTTTGCTTTTAAAATACGAGAAGTGGGAATATATATATATATACATGATTTTCTCTAATTTTCACAAAACTATATAAAATTTATATTGTGAATATTAAGTAAATTAAATTTTCAAAAAACACCAACCTCTAGATCTAAATGTATAAATGTATGTTTTAAGTTAAGAATATGACATTTTTATGTATTAAAGTTTTAATTTTTTATATTAATATTTATATTTTATATATTAAACGATAATTGAGTACATTAAATTGTGAATTGATTGCATGTTGCTGTGATTTTTTTATAGTTTTTGTAATAAAATATGATTGATTTATGTAAAAAAAAAATTGTATTAATTTGTTGTTAATATATTTATTTTTAATTTTGTATAAGTAGGTAAGAATGCATTAGTTTTTATAATTATTTTGCCTTAAATTTAAAATGGATGTATTAATCAGTTTATTAAACTATGAATGTAGTATTTAACATGTCATTGTCTAACTTTATATACAGATCTCATTTGGAAGAAAGAACTGTTGAAATGTTGGCATAAGTGGTTGGTGGCGGTGGTATGGTGGTGGTAAAGTTTGGATTTGATTTATTTGAATTTGAGAATTAGTGTAAAATAAGTTATGTTAGCTTATGAATTTTGTGTATTTTATAAAAGTTTTGTGTTAAAATATAAATGAATGCATGCATGAAAATATTAGACTAAAAAGATTATGATTTTGCCATTTTCTTAATAAAAAGACAAAAATCAGGATTTTAACATACTTGATAATATTCACAATATATATTTAGTTATTAAATGAGGTTCTTAAGGTTCTTAATTTTCTGTGAATCTCATTTGAATCACTCGATATATATATATATATATATATATATATATATATATATATATATATATATATATATATATATATATATATATATATATATATATATAAGGGTAGGCCAACCCCTTGATATGCTAGGTAGTATGAGATTGATGTGTTTATGTGCTAGGAGATTACATGGTAGATGTAGGGGTGAAATAGTCCCCGTTATCGGTCAAAAGGACCGAAGGGGTTGGCCAGCACCCTGATATGCTAGGCAAGTTACCAGTCAAAAGGACCGAAGAAGTATGCCAGTACCCTGATAAACTAGGCAAGGTACCAGTCGAAAAGACCGAAGGGTTAGGCCAGCACCCTAATATGCTAGGCAAGTTACTGGTCGAAGGAACCGAAGGTATAGGCTAGCAACCTGATATGCTAGGTAAATTACAAGTTGAAAGAGATCAAAGGGGTAGGCCAGTACTCAGATATGATAGATAGTATTTTTGTTGTTTGACATGTGGTATGATGGTGGAAACTCAATAAGCTTTGTGCTTACGGTTTTCAATTTTGTTTCAGATCCTTCTTCTTCAAAGGGAAAGGATATGGCACGATAACAGTGCATCAGACCACGATTTTCCGCACTATGATGTTCTTGGGATTTTGTACTTTGACATTATTATATTATGACTTGTTTTAAGACATATGATATGGATTTTTATGATGTAGGTTAACTTCATGATGTTTCAAAAAATATGTTTTATGATTTATTTAAATTAAAAATGAATTTTTTGGTACAGACCAATGGGATGTTACACCCATCCACAAGATAAAATTTGGGATGAAATTATTCTAACGGGGGGAGGATATAACACTAGTCAAAATAGGCCAACAACAATCATATGTGATTATGTTAATCAAGTAACGTGATTATGTCAAACAAGCAATGTAACAAACTTACTTTGTAGTTAATGGAATATTCTAATACAAATATGAGCTTTCATACCTACCTTATAGTATAAATCAAAGTACATGTCCATACAATTCCAAAAATATATATGACGTCTAAATATGACTTCGTGTTAGAAGTTATGCAAAACTCTAACACTATAAATCTCTATAATAAGAAGAAGTGAAAATAAATAGAGAGTTAGCTATAGGAATCTAAAAGAGAGTTGTAGTACTCGTAAATACCTACGTGTGGATATAAATAATGTCGAAAACGGAGTTCGTATGCAAAACATATGATCTTCTGAATTTGTAGAAGTCTAAGAGTGTGACACATGGTAGAAACCCTAAATCAGCCATGCTCCATGATGTGGACAGGAGGTCCACGATGTGAATGTGATCTTGGACACTTCTCAAAACTAGAAGGAATATGGCAAGGCTATGGAAGCGATTTGTGAAATCTCCACGACGTGGACATAAAGTTCACGACGTGAAGTCGGTATCGTGACACCTTCTAAAGCTAGGACCTAAATGGCAAGTCTACGAGGTGATTCAGCCATTTTTTACGACATGGAATTGTATTGATCAGCCTATAAATAGAAAGTTCGACCCTAACCATTCTTACACTTAAATATGTTCTCTCTCTCTCTCTCTCTCTCTCTCTCTCCCTCTCTCTCTCTCTCTCTCTCTCTCTTGCTGAAGGCATTCCGCATCCCGAGGCCGACGATCACGAACCACTGACCATTTCTAGTTAGATTCCACAAAATCATGCTACTAGGGTGAGTTTCACGGCCCCACATTTTAATATTTTTGGCGGAAAATGCATGTTAAATATTATATAAAAGTTAATATTATTATATGACAATATGTTCATATCAACACAGATAGTTTATATTAACCAGGATATAGTTGTTTTGTATGATATATACCTAGAATATATCCGATATTTTAAAGTCATACAAATATCTTAATACTTTTTATCATGTTATTATATATTTTACTAATATAGACCCAAATTTATATTTGGGAGTTATATATATATATATATATATATATATATATATATATGTGTGTGTGTGTGTGTGTGTGTGTGTATATATATATATATATATATTATGTGCAATATAGTTATGGAGTTATACTCGGAAGTTTTATATACTAAATGTTATGTATGTTGTTATTACTGGCTTTATGTTAAGATTAAACCTGGTATGTTATTAATATAGTCCAGAAGTTACATTTGGGAGTTCTATATATACTTGCTAAGTATGTTGTTACTATTGGTTCTATGTTAAATAAAACCTAGTTTTACTTCAGGTTATAGTTGTTGTACTGCCTAAGTATTTTGAAATTAGGAGTAATGTTTAAAAGCATAGTCTAGTAACATAGGGGTTTAGACACGAAATGCTTTTGTTGTTAAGACTCTAGGAAGCTGAAAAAGTCTACATGAGCTATTGTATTCATCAACTAAGATTGGGGATCTAAGGAGAAATCCTTTGACCTGTAACCGTTAATCCTGTGTGAGCGAGGAATTCGTGTATGAAGTTTGAGCTCTTCACTTTGAAGATTATGTTCTTTTTTCAGACAATAATGGCTATCTAATATGGGAAGCCATTACTCTTGGTCTATTCACTCATACTGAAACTAAAAAAACTATCAAAACTCAGAAGGGATACAAAGAGCTGCTTCTTGATGTGAAGGACGTTCATCAGGACGAAAAAGAAAAACTAATTAGCAACGTCAAAGTGATGAGGATCATCATATTCGCTTTGCAGGCCGACATTTTCCGTTTGGTT